TTGAGACAGTCTTGCTAAAATGCTTAGGATCTCACTAAATTGCTGAGGCCTTCCTTGAACTTAAAGTCCTTCTGCCTCAGCTTCCTGAGTTGTTGGGGTTATAGGCATGGACCACCATGTTCAGCTAAGCATTCCTATTCTTTGAGKTCACTGTGATGTTTCTGTCTTGTCTTGTACTTTTCTTGTGTCTGCCATTTCTGCAAGGATAATGGTTCCTTTTTGTGTATTTAAAAAACCAAGGTCTGTTTTTAGAAACCAAGGTCTGTTTCTTTACTGTTACTGCTACTGGTATTGCCAACAGACTTTTATAGGTAAACGTCGTAAACATGTATGAGTGTGTATGTTTATATTTGTATACCATGTAGAAAAGTACTTCTATATTTTACTTAGAAATTTGTGGAATATAAATATTTTATGTGCATGTGCCTATATGTGTATACACACATGCACATCTATATTTGAATAGAAAGAACCCTGTAAAACTACATCTATCACTGTTGCTGTTTCTGTTAGCGTGTACGTATTAAAAAGTTCACAATAATATTTGAATTCCAGACTAAAATCTCCTCATCATTTTGAGTCTTTGCCATCTTCATATTTATAGGTGATATCAGATAGGAGAGAGTGACTCCCATTTTCTCAATATATTCCTTTATTTACTCAAACAAGTAATTTAACAACCAGACCTCCAATTTCTCTTGATTACTTTGTCCTYCACCCACTTTGTAAACATTTTTCACAATAAGTGTTTACTTCAGAATTAAAGGGAAACAAAAMCATCAAGCATTGGAATATATTGACTGAAATACAATATCTCATTTGGTCTGAAATCTTGAAAAGTTACTCTGACTGTGGCTGAGTGCCCCTTAGTTCAATCCCTACTACCTAAAAAAAAAATTAAAATTAAAAAGAAACCTTAGTGTTCTCAGTAAATGCACTGAATTTATGTTATTTATGTTCCCTAAGTATCAAGTAGAAAATAGGAAATGAAAGGGGAAGTTCATAAGTGAAAATTAAGAAAAACTGCATAACAGCAGAAATAAAATATTTTACTAAGTGCAAGAATCAGATATTTAATGATTTATAGTTTTCCTTTTTTAACTTAGCATTTCTGAGCAGGGAAGAACAATCATCTTCACCATTCATCAGCCTCGCTACTCCATCTTCAAGCTGTTTGACAGCCTCACCTTATTGGCCTCAGGAAAACTCCTGTACCATGGTCCTGCCCAGAAGGCTCTGGAGTACTTCCAATCAGCAGGTGTGGTTGACATTTTCATGCACTAAATCTTTCATTCATTGACTTCTGGGGAGAGTAGAGGTGTTGACAGGAGTGTTACTTGATCTCTGTGCAGATATAGCTCGGGTTCCACCACTGTGAAGCATCTTCAGTTTGGTGATAAATTTTGCTTCATTGTGCAGCACTTGCTTGTTCTTTAGGCCTTTTTCTTTTTCATATTTGAGTGAGTGTGTGTGTGTGTGTGTGTGTGTGTGTGTGTGTGTGTRTTTCTACTGGGCCTTTGTTCTGCTTCACAGTTATGATGATCTTTTCCTGAAAGGTCTATGATTAACTGGTTGGACTGACAGCAGTTATTCCATCAATTGAATATTTATGGAAAGGCCCAACATTATCTTTTTCTTGACCATATAGCAGATTCTGGTTTTTCAGCTTTCCCTCTGACATGTGATTGTGCTCTGCCTTCAGGAGGCTCAGGGACATGCTACTTTATTTTCTAGTAAGATTAGATTGCAGATTTAGGCCCTGAATATATTTGAGTGACCTGTTAATCATTAGAGTGGCTGGTTCTAAATCTGACTTTGATGCACCAAAATTTCTGGGCTACCTGAATCTTTGTATTTCAGGTTGAATTATGTGATTTTTTTTTAATGGCTTATGTGATCTACTTTATTTTAGAGATTTGAATATGATTACAGATGCTTCTCTATGATCCCAAATGCCATTTAAATATTCACTAGCTATCTTTCTTGATTTTTATTTAATGTCTGTCATTTAAAAATGTTCAAGCACTCATGAGTCTGTGGAATCCAGAGTAGAAGAACATTAAGAGTCAGACCTCAGGCCAAGTTCAGATGATTGTGACACAAGAAGTTGAGTCGGAGCCCAGGTGGCTATGCTGGTCACCTTCTCTTGATAATGGTGCTTTGGAGATTTGTCATCTATGTGGAATTATGGCAGCTTGAGAGGTGATCATTTGGACCTCTGTATTTAAATGGCAGAGAAGCAGTCATTGCCGACATGTGTATTGCATTACAGAATTTTCCAGGTGAACTTAAGCCCAGTGCACCCAGGCATTTAACACTTTTTTCCTTGGACCTAGCTTTAGATTTATGAAGAAGTCCTAATTAGCACCAGAGGATTTTAATAATTCTTTGCATTTCTTGATTTATGATGAGTAAGGACTAATATAAAATATTTTGAAGAGAGAAACTAGGGTTAAAAAAGAACAAGAGGATGAGGGAGAATTTGTTAGATTCTCTTTTCCTTAGCCTCACCTCCATCACCCTCTGGAGGTGATCTACTTTTCTTTCTGAGACCATCAGGTTGAGTTCTTTGGTTTTCTTTCATAGGTTACCAGTGTGAGCCCTACAACAATCCTGCATACTTCTTTTTGGACGTCATTAATAGAGACTCCTCTGCTATAGTGTTAAATAGAAAGGAAGAGGACTCTGAAGGTATGTGAGTCTCAGTTTCACATGTTTTTGCCTGAATTATTTGGCTAAAGTTTAGATATGTGCTGGTTCATTAAAACATTGCTTTTGAATTTACATTAATGTTGTGTTCTGATGCCAACCAACAGATAGACTTTGTTGTCCATGAGTGCTGTATTTTTTATTAAACTTATTAATGTATATTTATGTGGTACTGTGAGGTATAAAATGAGTTTCCATTAAAAATAAATATGTTTGTGGATTGTATTACTTTCAAAATAAGAAACTTGGCACTTTATGCATTTGCACATAGAAGAAAGCAAGGATTTTATATTAAGAATTTTATATTAAGATTTTATATTAAGAATTGTAACTGCAGTAAGATGTCTGTTTTAAGAACAAGAGTCCCAATGGTTAGACAATGTCAGTTTTCTGTATCCATAAGATTATGGCAGAACTCAGATCAATTAGCTGTGCTTACTAATGTGTAAAGCAATGACCACYTTTTTTGAGACTTTTGTATATTCAAGCTTTAAAATTAAGGTGTTATCCAAGAAATGAGTCACAGAAAAACAGGTTATATCAGCTGTTATTCGTTAATAATGCTTTCCTTCTTTATTCCTTTTATTCCAAAGCTAATGGGGCCGAACAGTTTTCCAAGAGAGAAAAGCTAGTCGCAGACACATTAGCTGAATTTTATGCCAACTCCTCCTTCTACAGAAACACAAAAGCTAGATTACAGGAGCTCTCAGATGGTCAGAAGAGGAGCTCAGGCTTTAAGGAGATCACTCATGTCACCTCCTTCTGCCATCAGTTCAGATGGATTCTCTGGCGTGCATTCAGAAACTATCTAGGTTTCCCCTCAGTCACTATTCCTCAGGTAACCTACCAGATCTTTGTGCTCTTTTATAGTAATGTGGGAACAATTTAGTTCTGAAGTAGTCTCCATCAGGATTATGTGTATCTTCTACACACCATTCTATTTACTTGTCATCTGCACTGCACTTTGGATATAGAAACAGTCAATAGAAAAAGCAAAACATTAGTTTTTACATATGGAAAGCTGTTTTTTGTTGTTTTGTTTGTTTTTGTTTTTGCACGACTGAGGATTGGACCTGTGGGTGCTCCACCACTGAGCTTCCTTTCCAGCCCTTTTAAAAAACTTTTTATTTCAATACAGAATCTCACTAAGATACCAAGTCTGGCGTTGAACTTGTGATCTTCCAGGCTCAACTTCTCTAGTTGCTGGGATAACAGGTGTGCACCACCAGACCTAACAAGGCTATTTACTGTCTCATTACTTCTCTAAACTTCTTTTGGTTGGCTCTGGGTGGTTGTTAATTATCATTCTTTAAGGTTTTTTTTTGTTGTTGTTATTCTTAATCCCTATGTCACAGAAAACACTAGTTCTTCCAGTGAAGAGAGAAATTAGGGTRAAAAAGAACAAGAGGATAAGAGAGAATTTGTTAGATTCTCTTTTTCTGGCCTTGAACTTGTGATCCTCCTGCCTCTGTCTCCTTGGTCCATCATTTATATAAGGAAATCAATTTTACTCATTGTTTTGGGGTTACTATTTTTATTATTAGTCACTGAGTCTCTGCTGAGTGCTGTGGTTTGTTCTAATGAAAGACTGCTGGCTACTTGTGTACTGTAATTTTCATGCATTAGTATTTTTACCTTCCAAATATATTTGAGCATCTACGTGCCTTTTGAATTATACTATGAATTTTCCCAAATATTTTGATCCTTGAGATTTGGCATTTCTGCCCAAATGTGAACACTTTTGTGTCCTGTCAGTCAAGGGTCAAGTTTTCTTCTTTGAGAATAGATTTGATGTCATTTGGAGCATGTTAGGTGTGTTAGATCGATCAACCTGAGTTAACCATTTTCAAACAGTGATGCAATATAGTGAGTTGATTTTTCTTTGTGATTTGAGCTTTACTTTGAATTACTTGCCTATAAATTGGTTTATAAATGTCTTATCCAAAACACATATGCATATATGGTAGTTAGTTGTGGGCAGGCCTGATCAAAGCATAGCTATTTGCAATGTACCTGAATTGTGTGAATTGTGCTTTGTTTTGGTTCTAGGCTTTTTTTGTTATTTCTGTTGATGCCGAGCCACATCCCCAGCCCTTTTTATTTTTAAAATTTTGAGAAAGGGTCTCACTAAGTTGCTTAGGGCCTCATTAAGTTGCTAAGTCTGGCCTTGAACTTGTGATCCTCCTTCCTCTGCCTCCTGAGTCACTGGAATTACAGGCATGCACCACTATGCCCTGGTCCTAAGTGCAAACAGCAGGCACAGAGCTTCCAGGTTTCATGTTAGCTTATTTGCCTCATCAGTGAACTTAGTTCCACAAAAGCAATTCTAGTAATATTCAGAGAATAATAAAGGTAGAAGCTTGTAGCTCTCTGAACTCAGCAGGACAACTATTATTATGGTTTTTAAATACTGGAGTGTTAGTGTAGGAATAGGCAAACACTTTTTGTTCAATAGCCAGATGGTAAATATTTTAGACTTTTCAGGCCAACATGGTCTTTGTCTCAGATTATCAAGCTTATCATTTTAATGTGAGAGCAGCCATAGCAAATAAACATGACTGTGTTCTGATAAAACTATATTCATGAACACTGAATATCTAGTAAATTTCATTATCAGAAAAACATTATTCTTTACCTTTTTTGTCAACTATTTAAAAACATAAATACCATTCTAACTTTTGAGTTAGAGCAAGAATAGGTGGCTGGCCCTATTATGGCCCCGATGCTTCAGTTTACTGACACTTGGCCTGATGTTTAAAACTTTCTATGGTTTTTTCCTTCTCTAAATTTTGAACATGGAGTTGTGAAAATGTTTTCTGACTCTTCTTGAGATATTCTTTTTAGCTCTGAAGTTTTGAAGATACATAGTAGGATATTTTGTTATCTTCAAACTTATATTTTTATAATTTCCCCAGGAATAATTGTAATTGAAATTACTTTAACAAATTATATTATAATGTAACTTTTCATCCCTGTGACCAAAATACCTGACAAGAACAACTTAGAGAAGAAAAATTATTGTGGGCTTACAAAGTTTCAGAGGTTCAGTACATTTTCAGCCAAATCCATTACTTTGGGCCCAAGATGAGGCAGGAATTGTAGTGGGAGGGCATGGGTGAGGAAAGCTACTCAGCTGTTGGTGGCTGGGAAGGGGGGGCAGGGGTGGAGCCAGGGACAAGAAATAATCCCAAGGGCATGCCTTTAGTGTCCTACTTCCTCCAGTCACTCTCACCTGCCTATAAATTATTAATCCATCAATTTGATCAAGCCACCAATGAAGTCCCAGCTCTTATAAACTAATCATTTTACCTATCACTATTCCTACATTGAGTGATATATGAACCTTTGAGAAAACAGCACATATCCAAATTATAACAGTTACCCTTAAGCCTTTGCTAAGTGAGGCATCCTTTTGAAACTTTCTATACTAAAAACAAAGGGGATGTCAAGTCTCCTTGGGAGCCATTCACACTGAGTAGGTGAAGGTAGGTGAGGCTGGGTGGGGGGCTTGGGGTCGGGAGGAGGCTCAGGTGGGACATTGTAGGCCTCAGTGGCTGAGGTTGAAGGACAAGCAGTGATGGAGRAGGTGAAGGAGGTGGTAATGGAAGCACTTGGGTGCCCCCAGAGAGAGCTGGCTGAGTGCTTTGGTGACAGTGACAATACACTTTCTCATACAAATGGGGTCTTACCAGAGGTAAAGTGAAATGATCCTGCTCACCCTTCTTCCTTTTTTATACAAAATGTTAGAAATCCTGTGTATAGTTTTAAAATTTTATTACTTGTTAATTTTGTGGTGCTGGGGGTGAAATCCATTGTCTTATGCAGGCTGGGCAAGCACTGTACTCCTGAGCTACATTCCCAGCTGTAAACCCTCTTAAAGGATGAAACTATGCATGTTCATGGTCACAAAAGTTGAGAGTTCAGTTAAGTCTAAAATTTTAGCCACTTGGACTTTATTTTTTGCCTAAAAATGACTTCCCTAGCACATGCTTGACTTTACCCTGTATGGCATTGTGGGGATAGAACCTCAACTGGCCCTAAACCAGGAGAGCCTTTTGGACCCAATCTTAGTTTGTCCAATCATCTGCTCTTGTCTTGTCAGTCCTCCCAAAACAACAAATACCTTAATTTTCAATTTAAGTTAGAAAGCAGTCTAATAAGTACAGTGTTTTATATTCTCCCAGGGATTTTGTCCATGCCATTTAAAGTGTTGCTCACAGTAGAGAGATTTGATTATGTAACCACAATCTTGTAATAATAAATTATGTACAAAAGTTTTACCTTTAATTGAAATTCTTTCCTTTTTATTTTCATTTTTCTTTTTGGTAAGATGTTTGGCATAGCCATTCTGGGATTGATTGTAGGTGCCACATTCCTTGTGCTAAAAAATGATTGTACTGAAATCCAGAATAGGTAAGTAAATTTGAATCTCAATTTGAAAAAAAATGCTGTTACTTTTTTCAAGCTTATGAACACGCTTTAAATATTTGAATTTATGGTAAATAAATGTCATTGTTTTATTGTGGGTAGAAGGAATTACTGCATTGAAGAATGAATGGAAAAGTTCATTTTTTTACAGATATATATATATGTAATAGTAAACTGTACAACTCAAGTTTATCCTTTTCACACTTCTTAAGTGGACAGTTGGGTGGTATCAAATATATTTACATTGTGGGAGTACCATGACCACCTGACTCTAGACAATTGTTTTCATCCTCCCAAATGGAATCCCCATGAATCAGCTACTACCAAAATTCACTTCTCTGCAGACTGTCTAACACCACTCTACATTTCTGAATTTGACTACTATAGGAATCCTACATGCATGGACTCTTGCAGTATTTGTCTTTTGGTGATGATTGGCCTATTCCCTTAGCATAATATYTCCAAGTTGTACCATGTGTTGAAATTTCTTTCCTTTTTAAGTCTAAATGATCATCTATTATATCTCTATATATTCCATTTTGTTTATCTATTCATTGGTTCATGTAAATTTGGGTTACTTCTACCTTTTAGCTATAATGAGTAATGTTGCTATAGGTTTATAAATATCTCTCTGAGCCCTTACTTTTAGTTCTTTGGGGGTAAATATTCAGAAGTAGAATGGCTGGGCCATATAGTAATTCTGTTATTCTTTTGAGCATCTGCATCCTGTCTTCCACTAGAGCTGCACCATTTTACATTCTAACCAATAGTTAATAGGGGTTGCAGTTTCTCCATGTCCTTACCAAAAGTTGTTACTTTTTCCTTTGCTGAATAATAGGCATCTACCGGATCTCTGTTATAATGTCCTATATCCATTTTAAAATTGAATTAATTCCTTTTGGGATATGGGATTTGTAAATATTTTCTCCCATTGTGTAGGCTGTCTTTTACTTTCTTGATAGTGCATTTGGTCCAGTGTTTATTTTTCTGTTACCTGTGAGCCAATTTCCTTTATGGTTTTTGATTCATTTGATTTCGGGGTATAAATAGGGTTGGCTGATAAGAGTCAGTGTTTCCTGTTTTATGGATAACATTTATCTTAGTGTTGTGATCATTACCTAGTTTAATTATAATATGTCCTTAAAAATCTCAGTTTAGGATGAGACATTTTATGTTCATAGCATAGGTGCTTAGCAACACCACAGACCTGAAGGTTCTCATCATAATTCATGTATGAGAACCACTGCTTGCTAGACATTGGATCCCATGCTTGACATCCACAGCCTCAGGTACCTCCCAACATCCAGAGGGGTACATGGTCCTATCCCCACTTTAATATTGAGGACAGTTGAGGAAGGTTATAGAAAATCTGTTTTGATGTCTATTAAAGGCTGATTATTTTTAAAAGAAAGAATAAGTGTCAAAGTCAATTCTCTTTTYTCTTTTCTCTCTTTCCTCTCTCACCTCTTCTCCTCTCTTTACTTCTCCCCTCCCCTCTCCTCCCTTCTCCTCTCCTCTCCTCTCCTTTCTTCTTTCTGCTCCTCCTCCTCCTCCTCTTCTTCTTCTTCTTCTTCCTCCCTCTCCCTCCCTCCCCCCTCCTCCCTTCTCCTCTCCTCCCTTCTCTTCTCCTCCCTTCTCCTCTCCTCCCTTCTCTTCTCCTCTCCTTTCTTCTTTCTCCTCCTCCTCCTCCTCCTCTTCTTCTTCTTCCTTCCTCTCCCACCCTCCCCCCTCCTCCCTGGCACTAGCACTAGGGCCTAAGTCCTCAGGCACTCTACTATTGAGCTACATCCCAAGCACTTTTTATTTTTATTTATTTATTTTTATTTTGAGAAAGTTTCACTATGTTGGCCAGGCTGGCCTCAAACTTGTGATCCTCCAGCCTTGGCCTCCGCAGTAGCTGGGATTACAGAAGTATATCACTGCACCTGGCTAAACATGGATTCCTCATGTAAGAAACATTTTTCATCTGTGTAGAATCAGATAATGTTATACTATAATATGATTATACAGAGATTTTCCTGAGTTATGCCATACTTCTACCATCCCTAGAGGCTTAGATCTCTGGGTTATTTCCAAACATGCTAATATTTGGTGTGTAGATTCCACTTCTTAATCCAACAGGACCTAGAGACTGTGCCCATATTATGTGTCTGGAAGCATTTGAGTAAAATATTAAGAAAGCTATCCTTAACTGAAAATAAAGACAAACTAAAAAGCCAAGCATTAAAGGTCTTAGTTAAAAACTCCAGAGAATATAAGAGAGCTTTAGTAATTTCTTCACATGTTTTCTGGAGAAATTGGACATTTTCCTTGTTTTAACTTGTATTTTTGCCTATATTAACTACCATTTTTTAAATAAAAAGTTGAATTATGTGAAAATGGCCTCTGTGTGTAGCTTTTCTAATCTGTCCTGGGGTGATCATTCTTTGCTTCTTTTGATTGGAAAACAATGTTTCAATTTCGTTTCTGGAATCAAGTTTTTAAAGCTTCCTTCAGGGGTGAATATCAGTGCCTCATCTTTTGAAATTCCAGGAGAGGCCAACCCTTTAATTCTTCTTTGGGATCAAGCACTGCCTTTGCATTTTCTCTCACCTGTGTAGCTGAGTAAATGAGTTTCAATCCTTTATGGAGTGTGAACTCCTTTAACTCCATAGCCTTATAGGCTTATGATAACAAATAAACAAATTAGAAAAAAATTAAGGTATTTTAAAATAATTGGATCCAGTTGTCTCACTTCTAGGTATTAACATGAAATATTTAAAATCAGTTTGTTGAAGAGATATCTGCACTTCTATGCTCACTGAAATACACTTCACAATAGCCAAGTTGTTGATTCCATCTAAGTGTCCATCCTAGGATAAATGAATAGGGAAAGTGAGATGTGTGTACACAGTAGAGTACCATTCAGCTCTAAGAAAGAAATTCTGTCGTATTTGACAATATGGATGGAAGTGGACAACATTATGGTAAATAAATTGAACTCTTAGAAGCAGAGAGTAGAAAGAATGGTGGTTGCCAGAGGCTGAGGGGAAGGCAAAAAGGGAGAAGGTGGTCAAGTGTGCAAAGTCTCAGGAGGAATAAGGGCTTTTTTTTTTCCTTTGAGATTTTATTATACAATGTGATGAATATAGTAAATACTAATATATAACTCAAAACTGCTGAGAATTAATTTCAAAAGTTCTTTATTGATCTTCCAAATATACATTAGAATGATACTGGTCATTTTCTTTTTTAATTGAAGGTGATACTATTTCTGTGACCTATGAATTAGCTCAGGTTGCCATGACTAAATGCTATAGATATGGTGGCTTAAACAATAGGGGTTTATTTTCCCTTAATTCTAGAGTGTGGAAATCTGAGCTCAGGGTTCCATTCCAGGAGGGTCAGTCTCTTCCTGGCTTTCAGGGAGCAGCCTCACTCTGTACCCTCACAGTAGAGTATGCTGTGATGTTTCTTCTTTTTTTATTTTCTTTTTTAAAATTATTTTCTTTTTTTATTGTTCAAGACAATACAATGATCTTGACATATCATACATTTGATTCAAATAGGGTATGAATTCTCAATTTTCCATGTGTACAGATTGCAGGATCATTCTTCTTCTTATAAAGACTCTAATCACATCTTGGGATCTGTACTCTGATGACTTCATCTAACCTTAATATTTCCTAAGTCACCTACTTCTAAATACCCACATATTGGAGATTATTGCTTCCATATATCACTTTCAAAATGCAGTCATAGGAAGGTAAAAAATCAGGGGTATAAGAAGTGTGCCACAAAAGGAAAGAGAGTTTTGTGGTGGCATCAGAAGCAAATTGGAGGTGGGAAATAAATTGGGCAAAGAATGTGACATAGTTTAGTCCTCAGTAGACAGAGGAGTGGAAAGAGCCAGAGGGCAGCCTTATAGCAAAAGGCAGGTTGGTTTTGTCTCTTCTGCTTTTTGAAGATTCAGTTTACAGTCAGCTAAGACTATGGGTTTCAAATAGGGCTATAATATGGAATTACAGGGGCACTATTGTGGAGATAGAGATGCAGAGAAACCTTAAGGGTTCATGCTTCCCTTTGAGTTTTAACCAGAATAGTTCTGCAACTTGAAAGGAAAAAAAAATCTATTTAATGTTATGCCTTTTATGGAAACAGTTTGTGGGTAGAAAACTGAGCTAATGGCATTGACCTGACTGCAATACTTTTGTTCCTGTTCCGTCCTGGCAGAGCCTGGGCACTCTACGTGCTGGTTGTCGTCCAGTGTTTAAGCAGTGTGACAGCTGGGGAGATCTTTGAGCTCCAGAAGAAAATTTTCAAGTGAGTTGGTCTCTGTTTCAGAAAGGGGCATCAGTATCTATTGGTCATATAGGWCACTTCTAGGATTGGGACAAGGATGTGATCTTGCAGATTTGCCAAAAAATGTATAGACTTACCATTCACAGTGTGAACTTTTGAGATATAGCTAGGGATTACCAATATTGACTGAGAAAATGCAGTCGTGGGAGGGTAAAAAATCAAGGGTGTGTAGAGTGTTCCACTAAAGGAAAGAGAGTTTTGTGGTTAGCTATGACCAGCCAATCCCAGTGCTGCAAGAAAGCAAGCAATAATCAAGGTGGAAAGTATCTTTATGTTTTCAGGAAATAACAGCTCATTGTGACCCTTACAAGAAAAGTTTGGTAGAGAGTAAGTGGTGGCGTCAGCAGCAAATTGGAGATGGGAAATAAAATTGGCAAAGAATGTGACTTAGGTTAGCCCTCTGTGGATGGAGGAGTAGAAAGAGCCAGAGGGCAGCCTTACAGTAAAAGGCAGGTTGGTTTTGTCGCTTCTGCTTTTCGAAGATGCAAGAGTTAGCCCATATGTACATGCCAAGGACAGGAATCTTCAGAGAGCAAAGGAATGAGGACACTGGTGGAAGAATTTGAAATTAAGAGAGAGACATTTGAATTAAGAGAGAGACATCAGGAAGAGGAAAGATGAGGATTTGGTATCTGAAAGGGTGTATGTTGAAAGACATGATCTTTGAAGGAAGTCTTTTTTCAAAAATTATTTTTGAAACAAGATCAGCAGAAGTAAAAAGAATTTAGGATATTGCACCTGCATTTGGGGGCCTTGGAAAATAATAAAGTCACCTTTTTCACAATCGGAGGTGGAGAGAARAAAAGCCTCTTACTATTGAGTTTAGCCTCTCAAGTGCTGCTGTTCAGGCAAAGCCAGCCTCAGTGGAGAAGCAGGGTCTCTGAGGAGAGTGAGGAGACACAGACTCTCTCCTTGGAGGGGTGATGTGGGCCAGAATGGGCAGCAGCAGGAGAAGTGCTAACATGAGAGAGGGTCACAGTAAGAGCCTCATGGAGCTGATACCCTAGGGAAGCTTCCCTGAGATAAAGAAGGGCATGCTGGGTCAGTCTGGAGCCTGTGGGCAGCTGCAGTGTCAGACCTGGTGGCAGCAGGATCTGAACAGCAGCATCTCATCTGGGCTGTGCCTTCTTGGACTAATCTGAGATGTGTGGTGTGTGTTTTTTTCTGCAGACACGAGTACCTCAGTGGATACTACAGAGTGTTGCCTTATTTCCTTGGGGAACTGTTATCTGAATTAATACCCCGGAGGTTGTTTCCAACTATTATATTTACTTCTATACTATACTTCATGTTATGTAAGTAGCAAGATGAAGATGTATCTTTAGTCTTGAATATGAGGTGATGCTCATTTCTCTCTCGAGCATGTTCATGGTTATTAAAACTACAAACCAAGCTGTATGTAAGCTATGGAAGTACATATACCCTCCATGCACTCTCTAAAATAAGTGTTCACTGATGGCATTGTTGTCAAGATTTTTCCCAGCCATTTTTTTTTTTAACAAATTGAATTGAACCCAGAGTGTGAGCATGGTAGGCAAGTGCTATAACCACTCTGCTATATCACCAGAAATTTTATTTTTGTTTTGTTTTGAGATGAGTCTTGATAAATTGCCCAGGCCTACTTTGAACTTGGGATCCTCCTGCATCAGCTTCCCAGACACCAGGGATTGCCAGTATGCACCCCTGTGACTGGGCCAACCAAACTTCAAAACTATTTATAAAACTTCAATTTACTGCTCTCAGTATATATAGAGAGAATAGATAAGCCAAGAATATCAACTAGTTTATAATTTATTCCATGTTTGTGTATGACACACAGAGATGCTGTATGTCTTAAAATCCTGATCCCTGACACACAGAGTTGCTGGGTGTCATACACAAACATGAAAGAAATTATAAACTATTTGATATTTTTGCCTTATCTATTCTATCTATATGTCTCTATGTAGAGATAAAATACAGAGAGGTAATATCTCTAATGTGTATAGGAATGTATTGAGAGGGATAAAAATATCAATATATACATATATTCTCTCCTTCTCCTCTCTAATCAGAGAAAGAAAGATGATAACTTTGGTGTTCATTTATGTAATAAAAATACTTATTTGGGCTGGGGATGTGGCTCAAGCCGTAGCGCATTCGCCTGGCATGTGCAGGGGGCTGGGTTTGATCATCAGCACCACATAAAAATAAAATAAAGATGTTGTGTCCACTGAAAACTAAAAAATAAATATTAAAAAATTCTCTCTCTCAAAAAAATATTATTTGATGGGTGTAGATGGATTCCTTTGTGCATTAGACTCAGTTTTCACTTCAGATACTGCATCAGAATTTCTCTCTGTCTGTCTCTGTCTCTGTCTCTGTCTCCGTGTCTCTCTCTCTCTCTCTCTCTCTCTCTCTCTCTCTCTCTCACACACACACACACACACACACAAAATATCTGTTTTTGACAACATTCTGCAGGATAACAACCACTGACAGATCTTAAGCATTCCATTTTACAAATCAGGTTTGTCAGAAAGAATTAATCATGGAATCGAAACCCCTAGACTTCTGATAAGTGTTCTTACAACTCTTCCCAAACCCTCAGGTGATATGACACAGAACATTAGCTCATTATAGTATATTGACTACTTTAGGAAACTTAATTAGCCCACTTTCAATCAGAACTATGTGGTGGTTTGTTTAGAGGGTCTTAAGTTATGAGGATAACTTTCCTTCCCCCTGGTATTTTGAAAATGTTTTATTAGTGTATTATAGTTATACATAATATTGGGGTTAATGCAGACATGATTATTCAAGCACGGAATTAAATTTGCTACAGTTCAGTCCCTAGTAGTCCCCTTTTCCTCCCACTATGGGATCTTAAAATCCTGATCCCTGTTTCTTCACTAAACATTTACAGAAAACAATGAACAATGTGGAGATGTCTGGGTACGTGAATGGCTTGTTGAGGAGTTTCCTGTGACAGTAGAATTGTGACCATTTTTGTTGCCCATATCCCTCCAAMTCAGCCACTTAGAAGTTGTTCATCATTACACATAGAGGAGCATGGATGTTACATGGAAAAGTGCTTTTGCAGTAAATGTAAAAAAGAAAACTATATGATAACTTTATGTGGTTASATGGAAGGAAACAATAATGATAGTTGCATAGTGGGTGACTTTTTTATTCTGATATTAGTTTATCAGAAAGAATGTTGTAGTGTTATTGGCAAAATAAATAATTTCAAATACAAGGTGACCTAGGAAGCTGGACTAACTCTTTCTTTTCCTTCTAAGGGTTGAAACCAGATGTGGGGGCTTTCTTCATGTCGATGATTATTGTTTTGCTGGTGGCTTATGCCACCGGTACCATGGCAATGATCCTGGGAGCAGGGGAGAAGGCGATGGAAATAAAGACATTTCTTGTGACTGTCTATTTTGTGTTTATGATGGTGAGTGTGAACTGTACTGCTTTGAGAGGGAATCTCTTCCCTTGTTCTTTCCTGCTTCTTCACTTGTCCTTAAAACTTKCTTTTAGGATCCTGTGTGGGACTCCAAAGTTTTCAGAGGCCACACGTGGCTATTAGAGAATGTACCACTTTCCTCCTGGTCCTTATGCAATCTGTTTGCTAGAGTCCTAATTTTGTTATTCTAACTTTTAACCAATCCTCACTAATGAGCTTTTAAAAATACTTCTGGGTGATGTATCATGAAACCTTGATAAATTGGAAACTCAAATCCTGGAAAAATTATGATTAGCCAATTCCCTCATAAAAAACAGATTCTGTGCCTGACCTTCATGCTGGTGTTAGAGAATTGCCAGGTCTGTAATCAGCAGAGATGGTTTGGTTTTTGGATTATKTAGGCTTCAAGGCAAAAGTGAAGATCCATGAGGAGTCTGACAGTGTGTGGCATGGGAAGTCTAACTGGAGCGCCTCCTATATTTTGAAAAGAAGTATTGAAAGCACTGGAAAATCCAAAGTCCACAGTGCTAGGTTCCCTCCCTTGTGGGTTCCTGGATGATCTATATCAACATATTTCTGTACATCTTTTGATTGTTTTTAATGTTTACTTAGTTCTAATCTTATATGCTTTAAATTTTGCACTCAAAATGATGAATCAGCAGATAATTGCTACCAACCTACTCCCTGTGACATGAACTAAACAGAAGTGCTCGTCCTATTAATACACATGTCCATTCTGCTTTAGTAGGAGTTGTTTTTCAAYGATACATATGTAGCATAAGCTCTTGCTAAAGTTTAATTTGTGAATTTGGCAACTACAATGTATATCATTGAGAAAGGGATCTTGTTATAGTTCCTATGCTGTTGTACAACAAACAAAATATCTTTCAATGAATGAGCTTTTCTTTGATGGGATGCTTTGATTAATTATTATATAAAGAATTTCATATGGAATTTAAAAAACCAATCATAAAACCATATTTCACTCAGAGTTGCTAGTGTATACTAAGCACTTCATTAGGTCCAGTCTAAACATATGCACACACCCCCCAACATTGTTCTGCATATCCCAGTGCACCTCACATCAGTTAGGACAAGTGTTATGTGAACCTCGTAGCTGTCTCTTGTTAGTCTCTAGCAGTCCTTCCTGGCATCTCCASTATACTGCTTTCTGATAGCTTAACATAGAGATATTGACTGTGTTCTGCTGAATTCACCATGTTATTATTATTAGTAGTAGTAGTTTCAGGCTTAGGGGTATTTAAGCTGACATTCTGAATCCCAAATTTTTTCTACAGGCATGGGTACAAAAAGCAAACCCTTGTAATGACAACTCTTATTATTGTCTAGAAGTAGAGAGGAGCATGTGATGCTCAGGATTCTTCTGGTGTATATTTTAGATGTCCAAGTTTATGAGTGGGACAGATAGTGGAGGTATAATTTGAGTAGTCAGTACCATCAGCCCTTCATGTCCATGGGTTCCACATCCAAAGATTCAACCAACCATGTTGTGGGGGGCGGGGGGGGGGGTGCAGGGCGCGGATGTTAAAACATAATTTGCATCTCTACTGAAAATGTACACTTTTTCTTTTCTTATCATTTGTTCCCAAACCATACAGTATAAATTTTTACTTGGTGGTTGACTTGTATTGTGTTTCAAAAGAAATATGGAAATGATTTTATTAAAAATACAGAATTTGCATATTTAAAGCATAAAGGATATACATAATTGTATCAAATATTATGCCATTTTCAAAATTAGAGATATAAGATTGTCAGATATTGGTATCTGTGGGTGGGAGCTGCTGGAGGCTCCTATAACTAATCCCTGTCAGATACTAAGAGATGACCTTAGTTCTTAATCTTTATTGCATACAGTTGCAGAGCAATTTAAGGACAGAGTCTTGCTAATAAAAATCTCCCAAAATAAGTGGAGTATACTATATAGATTACAGGTACATTGTTCTTACTTTAACACCATAAACTGCCTTAAGCATGCAGAGGTATATATATGCAAAGGACTAAAATCAGTATTTAGAAGTAAGTGGAAGAAATTTCAAGAAAGAGTAGGTCCTAGCAGAAATGTTTAGAAGGTTGTAGAGTTCTTGTGTAGGGTCTTATCTAGAGTTCCTCATAAAAACACTGAACTGATTGACACTTGGTTTTGCTTTTTGTAGGTTTTGTTGGGTATTTCAGTGAATTTTGGAACCATGACACCTTGGCTATCCTGGCTTGAATACTTGAGTATTCCTCATTATGGCTATATGGTAAGATGTCCACATCGGCCATTGTGGCAGAGTTTCCAAAGTGGGAACAATCAAAATAAATCCTAATCATTTAATTTCCATGGGCATGAACTGTGAACCTCTTTCATCAAGGAATTGTCTTTTATGGAGGTATCTGGATTTTCCCAATCACATTATTGTTTGAGGAAGAAGAAATCTGGGGGGAAATCTAGTTAATAGAAAAGGTTAACTAATTAATGAAAAACATATTTTGTGTTAATTCAATAAGGGAATCAATAAGAGGAAGGGAGACTGAAACACATTGTTTATACTGAAAGTGAAATTAAAAGAGAATCAGAAGACCATCTAATACCCAGAACCATACTGGCAAGTTAATCAACTCCAAAGGAAGCTGTGTCTTAACACAGTATAGCCAAATTTCTGACTCCCATAATTTCAACTTGTTTTGATTAAAACAAACAAGAAAACATTGTTATTATAAGTTGACAATGTTCACTAAACACTATTATATCATTTTAATTATAGTTTTTATTAGGGTTGTAAAATTGAGAGAGAAAAAAGAAGTTTGGGCTATCTAGCCATAGGTATCCCTTTTTTGCCAATGAGAACCAACGTCCCAAACTTACGCCTCTTGGTTACCAGGGAAAATATGTCAGCTGCTGTGCTGTGACAAAGGCTGTGAATGTAAGACTTGGTTTATTTTTGGAAACAATAACGAAGATTAAACTTGAGGGCCTAATTGTGATAATTCTTTGGCAACTTTTAATTTTTGCAATAATAGGGATTTTTTTTTTTAAAGAGAGAGTGAGAGAGAAGAGAGAATGAGAGAGAGAGAATTTTTTAATATTTATTTTTTAGTTCTCGGCGGACACAACATCTTTGTTGGTATGTGGTGCTGAGGATCGAACCCGGGCCGCACGCATGCCAGGCGAGCGCGCTACCGCTGAGCCACATCTCCAGCCCAATAATAAGGATTTAACCTAGGGACCTGTGCATGCTGAGCAAGCACTCTGTCATTGAGCTATTTTCTCAGCCCCTTTTATTTTTTGAGACAGGGTCTCCTTACCTTGAGTTGTCCAGGCTGACCTTGAACTTGCTATCCTCCTGCATTAGTCTCCCCACCAGGAGGGATTACAGTGTGCAGTTCTGTACCTGGCATCTGGAAACTTCTTGAAATGTAAAACTATTTATCTTGCTTTCCTCTGCCCTTTATGATATAGGCTTTGCAACATAATGAATTTTTGGGACAAAACTTCTGTCCAGGACTCAGTACAACCGAAAGCAGTGGCTGTATCAGCTATGTGATGTAAGTTTCCATTCAATGTCATATGAGATKTCTTACCACTGTGAAAGATATAGAAAGTCCCCTGGGTTCAGAGCCCAAGCTCAATGAATCTTTCTGAATGTAAGTTTTCCCACTCATAAAGTGAGACCTTGTATACTAGTGCATGTGAACATGCTGTACTTGTACTCCACTACAGTCAGTGTTGTATTAAMTGTGGAGAAATGTTTGATTTCTCCCTATGGAAAATTTATTTTGATTGTGAGTTTGAGTTCCTATTTTTCAGAACACTTGAATTTGAAATGGGTGTTTCAATAATTTAGCAAGGGTTCATAATCTTTGGACCGAATGGATTATATAGTATCTGTGAGCCTAGCCTGTGGATAGCAGTAAGAACTAACAGGGCAGTGATAGTATCAAGGGAATGAACATTGTCCCCCAAGTCCTGGCTCTTCCCTTTGCTCACACATGTGGGAGACATCACGAAACCAAAGGCTGCTCAGTTATGTATGTGTGTGTATAAACTGACTTGGAATACTTCCTCTCATAGGATGTATCCTTTAAAGGAAAAAAAGAAATATTTCAGTAAATTGAGAAGAAAGTCTTATTTTCATACATTGTCATTAAAACAGAAATTCAGATTTTAATAAAATTTAAGGATCTTACTTTAAAATTTTGATGATGCCTACCTGTTCAATGATAGTTGTTTGTTAATGGCTTGACTTTGATGCTTAAATTAATAAGAAAAAGAGAATGCTGGAATACTAATACTCTCCTGTATTTCTCAAATAGTATAGAAATAATTCTATACCAACCAGAAAATCTGTAAAGAGGTGGTTTCTTTACTTGCCTGCTCTCTTGTATTTGATCAGGGTGTGGCACAAAATCAGTGCCAAGCTGCTGGTGAGAACAAAGTGGATGGGGAAAATGGGACCAGATTAGGAGGAGCCACCACAGGCTTCAGGATTACATGGGCTCATCCTTACAAGAGGAAAGACAGAGCTCCTCTTACAACAAAGAGAAGCCATAGATATTTTTGTAACTGCTAAATTCTAAGAGATGGAACAATAGGCACGAGAATGGCAGCAGGCAATTATTGTGGCTGCAGCAGATGTTTTTAGTGTCATGTGCTTTTCTACCTGTGGCAGAAATGCTGCATCCTGCTCTGCTCCAGCTGGAGTTCAGTTCTGATTCCTGGGCCTGCAGGTGACATCCTGGATATCTGTGATGCTCTCCACAGTCTTGATGCAACAGCTGACAAACATGACTTGCTGGAAAGTCTTGCTCCCATTTGGTCCTTGTTTTAGAATTCTTAGCCTGTGTAGTTTACTGTCTTGAGGGTGAACAGAACTGTGGGGAGTTTGATCATCTTAGCAAGGGCCATAGGTGTCATCAGTTAAAGCTGAGGGTGACCCATAGAAGTTAGCTCTAATGGGGAAACTCTCAGTGAAAGTTTACCCTATAGAATATATCATGTGAAGAGAGCAGCATTATAAATTTGTAAATGGAAGAATCATAAGGCTAGAAACTTGCTCCACARTATGTCGCTGTAGGCWTGGCCAAGTTTGTTAAGTCTACTCCCCTCCTCTTTTAAATGTGTATATCTATATCCCCTTGGATTGTTTTAAGATAACTAAACTATTAGATCCAAGTTGCTTAGCACAGTATCTAGCAAAATTGTAAGCACTCAGTGACTTTTAGCTATTATATAAGAAAGACTAACTCCTAATGATTTGGATAACCTATCAGTTTCTTTAGCAAAAGAAGAGTAAATTTGACAGATATAAAAAATTTAGATATATATATATTTTTTTTTCTTTTAATTGAATTTCAGATGTACTGGTGAAGAATTCTTGACAATCCAAGGCATCGATCTCTCACCTTGGGGCTTGTGGAACAAACTCTTGAGTTTGACTTGTCTGATTTTTATTTTCCTCATAATTACCTACCTAAAACTGGTATTTCTCAAAAAATATTCTTAAATTCCCCTTTAATTTATTATGAATTACCATTATATTCAAAAGGAGCACCTGGATTTATTTTAAATATCCAATGAAGACTTTCTGTAGTTTTTGATCAGCTGCCATCACAATGTTGTATAGCAACAATTTTCCATAGAAACATTCAGAAAAACCACAGCAAACTGTCTTATTCAAGAGAGAACCCAAGCTAAAACTAATGATATGCATTACATATTAGCTCATCTCTACAGACAGTAACCAAGAAGAAGAAAATATAGGCTTTTGTATTGATATCAAAAAGGAAAATTGAATTCTAGAAATTCTCATCAAGCTACTAATATCTCTAGTATCAGTATTCTCATCTTCAAAGTGAATAAGCCAGTTGATAGTCCTCCAGTTTTAATAGCTATGAATCTCTGATCTGCCATTGTTAAATAAGTAATACATATATGAATGCATTGTGGAAAGTATTAGATCTAAAATATATTAGAAAAACCAGGATTATTTCTAGAATGAGAAAAGTCACGATGACTGAAAAACATGTCTTTGATAAGCTTATTGAGGTTGATGGACTTGTTAGAGCTTGGGTGTCTTGACTGGGCGCTTTGGGCTACAGGTGGGTAAAGGGCTAGGGTTCTGCAGATGTGGCTCTTGTGTCATTTCTAGGACATTCTGCTCTGAAGTCACTTCACTTCCTGGCATGGTTCAGTGGTATAAAACCTGGTTGCACCCAAATCCCCTGCAGAGTCTTGGTATGCTACACACCCGGCCCTGCCTGGCCCACCATAGTAGCACCTGAAGAGACATCTCCTTGAAGAACTCACCAGAGCTGGATTTTGCCATTTCCAAGATCCTCTCAGTGTTGAACATATTACACTTGTGGTTTAATAACTTCTGTGTCTCTGCATGCACAAGGTCCCCCCCCCCCAACTTGTACACATTTATTTCCACAAGCTGCCTTTACCAGGAATGAAGTATCTCCCAGTGCTGTGAACGTGTTTTTATAAGGAATATACAACCAGGCCTCACTGAGGATTTCGTATGTTCCCACGTTTTCAGTCCACAGAGAGAAACTTATGTGTCTCTATTTATTCACAAAATATGCCAACCAAAGCAACCAAAATCATTAATGCCTAATTTTCAGTTCATAAAAATGTAAATCTAACCTTTTATATAGGTCCTCCCTTTTTATTGTGATATTATGTTTTTATATGTTTTATTGTACTAATAAACACATGGTATAAATTCATTACAGGAATATTTATGAAAGTATGAGTTTATTTTCCTTAGGTGAAGAACAAAATGTTACTTCTTTAAAGACTATATGGCAACTTGCTGGCAAGATGATTACATGGGGTAACTGAATGATTTCTCCTGACCTATGTGTGGACTACTACCTTGGGCATTAGATCCTTATGGAGGTATTAACTTTACAGAAATGTTTTTGTATTGTCTGTGGCTACTTTGGCCCTTTGATGGCAAAATATTTTCATAAAGACCATTATAACTTAAAAAACCTAAAATATTTACAATCCTTTTGTTTATATAAGCTTGCAGACCTATATATTAAACCAATAGAGGTTGTTCCCAAGAGTTGGAATACTTAGGTCCTTGAATCAAGCAATATTGCCCTCTCACAATATTGTTTCCATTAACTAATTTTTACAATTATGCTTTGTGTCTCTGAAGCTTTAGGCCCTGCTGGATTAGAGGTCCTGAATCCTAAAGAGTCAGGGAATAAAGGAGTACTTAAGCACTGGAAATAAAGGAAAGGTTCTATGGAATTTAACAATGTCACTTAGTCACTTTGAGCTTTTCACACTATTAGAATAGCAGCAAAGAATGGAGTTATAATTTTGTTCATCCCTGTCACCTGGAGGGCTCTGGTTGTTACTACATAATGGGCAGAGAATTCATAGAGGAACTTGGAATTTCCTTGCTCCACATGCTGGTAGGGGCATGAGAGCCAAGACACTCAGCCCTTAGGTTTGAAGATGCGGATCACTGTGCCAGGCAAACAGCTTAGTAGAGCTGAAGTACTGACAAAGAGTGAGGACCTTCTAGAAAGGATGATATAGGAGAGAAGTAAAGAGTTGTGACCAGAGCCTGTAATTAGCAGCAGCAACGGAAACCAGCTGTGTTCCATGAACCCTCTGTATTGTTTTCTACTCTCTCAAATAGTACATGAAGGACTTAAGGTGATCATATGTGGGTCTGCATGGTGCAAGAGGTAGACTGAAGTGGGTGCTGTCACATCTCCTCTGTGCTCCTGCACTTTGGGTTGCATCTATGGTGGGCAGTTCCATGTGGGCTGACCTCATGCTGACAGCATTCTTCCTCAAGCCTGTGCCACACCTCTTTCCACATTTCTGCTCTTATGCCTTCTCTAAATCTGAAAGAATTTCAGCTCTTGTGTAAGTATAGCTGGAATTGCAGACATTAACACCCCATGAGCACCCTTAACCAACAGAGATCAGTCCAGGAGGAAATGCCTCAACCTCCTGTTTTGTAGACGAAATTATGGGAGGCATTCCTTCCTGATCACAGAGAAGGAATCCAGTCCCTTTTGCCTACAGAGAAAACTTCAGCAGTGCACCTCTGTATCAGCATTCTTCTTTTCCTGCCTCACTATGTTTCCTACTCCAGTGACCCAATATTGCCTCCTAAATAAACTACACAAACCAAGTCTTTGTCTTAGCTATTCTTTCTGGGGAATGCAAACCAAAGCACTCTCCCAGTAAGACAGAAACAAGTATTTTTTCTGTGACTACTGTTCACTCATACAATGCTGTCMTTTTTTACAGAGGAGATATGCTACAGATAATCTGAGGAATCCACACAAATTCAGAGCTAGTAAATAAGTTCAACAGATGTGCTGGATGTAAGATTAAGTTATTAAAGAATGAGTGATTTTCCTATGTAATAAAAATATAAAACTGTAAATATAATGGAAGACAAGATTATGTTCTCTGTAGTAACAAACCATTAAATAGTAGTGAAATCATTGTGGTAAAAAATTAAAAATAAAAACATTGAGTGCTAGGGTTGTGGCTCAGTGGTAGAGTGCTTGCATAAGGCACTGAGTTTGATCCTCAGGACCACATTAAATAAATAAATAGATAGATAAATAGATAGATAAAGATATTGTGTCCATTTACAACTAAAAAATATTTAAAAAAACATAGATATTAATGAGTACATGAAATTATTAAGAAGTTTTAAGTAACAGTAAAGGAATCTAAATGAAGATTTGAGTAAATGGAGACTCTGTTTTTGGTGTAAAGATGTCAGTTTTTCCCAATCCAATAAATCCAACATAATTCAAATTGAATTTCAATGAAGTTTGTCTCCCAAGAGCCCATAAGCCTTTTTCTAACATGTATATAGATAAGCAAAGGTTCACAAGTGTACCTTGGTTGATTTAGCAAACAAAAACAAGAATGATTTCACTACTATTTTTGTTCACTTCCTGTTTGTCAATGGGATCAAAGTCATCTGTGTGTATAAGTTCCTTGTATCTATTAGCACTAATTCCATATAAGTTTTGGACATTGTTAATATTTCTCTTCCGTTTGCTAAATTGCCAATGTGTCCTTCATTGCCACATAGTAAAAGTCCACTAATGTTTTGCCATATTAGGTTTGGGGAGTTGGAAAGAGACATCCACAAGATCCCCAAATTCTCATTCATTAATTAAACTTATGGTTTTTTATTGTTCACTTTTAATTCAGGTTAAGAGTGACTCTGTGGGATACAATGAGCCAGTGTCAAAATTCTCTGTTAAGTCGTTTTTCTTTATTAGGTCATGGTATCATTGATATAGTTCAGATTCACACATATATATGTGTGGTTTTGAATTCTTTGGACTTTTATATACATCTATGACTCATTCTGCATGACAATTTTTAGTAGTAGGTSTAAAGCAATATATGTTCATTTGTAGGAAGGCAATGCTTCTCTTCATTGAACTTTGCTGTTCATTGAGATTGGGCTACCATATCACTCTGTTTTGCTGTCTCTGCCATACAAGATGCTTTTTATATAACATAAATATCTTTTCTGACTTTTTGGAAACTTCTTTATTTTGGGAGTTCAACTGTTAATATGTGTGGTAGGGACATTTGTTCCTTCTTAGAATTTGTGACCTTTTAAAATCTGTGAACAATCACTTTTGACGATTTGGGGAAAACATGTTTTTTGTCATTTAATATGAATTATAAATTTCTAACTAATTTTATATGTAGACAGAACATGTTCTAATAATATAAAATACTATCATATTAATATACTCTGTAGTAATTAGCAAAATTAAGATCTCATGGCAGCTTTATAATATGAAGTAAAAAATATACATGTGTTTGTTATATATAATATATATATAAGTAAGACTTTTAAGTAAATATTTAGTTTTCATTTGACAATATCAGTACCTTTTATTGGCCTTTCAAATTTGAAATCAGAAACACATTCCTTGTGTTCATTCACCAGACTTATTTGTTGAGCAAGTCCCTGTGCTAGGTACCATACCATCTTTTTTTTTATTTGTAAGAAATTTCAACTTTAATATGTTTTTGTACATACATCTTCTTGTTTTGTCCACAGAATCTTCTGAGGTAGATAAGGTAAATATTCATTTTCTCAATTTACAAATGAGAAAAAAAAGTCTTCAGACAAGTGGCCTCATGCACTAGGTGTCTGGTTGTGGTCACATGACTAGAGTGGAGACTGAAGATTGGAATCTCAACCAGAAGACCAGAGAAGAGTAGAGAACTATTATCTCTCTACTTTCAGCTTCTCTTTGTGTTATGGGTGATCTGTAAAGGAGGTCTTTTGTAACATCTCCATATGGTATCATGTTCTGTTGAGAGCCGTCTGTGGGCTATGTGTGGACTATACGGGGATTGTAGCCTTGTGAATAGGACAATCTGGTGCTGGGATCTTCCAGTGGAAATTTCCTCTGGCCAAAACTACCCAGATACATTGTGAGCCCTATTCAAGCTCTGCCTGGTCCTACACAGCAC